ATATATATATATATATATATATGAATTTTAATTTAGACCAAATGAGTGGTGAGTTTTAAATGTTGTTCTAAGAATACAAAACTATTTAAAAAAATCATGCCAGTTGTATGTTAACATCTATGATTGTTTTAAAATATTTGTTTCTTTACTCCAGGCCTTTTAAAAAACTTGTCGCCATCCAGCATGACCCGATTCTGATGAGATAGCACAGAAACTCCCCACCTGGGGCTTGAGCCTGCTCCCCCTGCTCCCAGGGACACGTGGACCTGGCAGGGCACTGATCATGGACTACGTGAGGAGAAATAAATATTTGATTTGCTGAAGGCTGACTGACTGGGACCAAAAGCGAGTTTACTGACGTAAGCACGCATTTCTGTAGTTTTCCATTCCCCTCAAATCAAGTTAAAAGGACCCTCCACGTCACCTTCCCAGTCTGAGGTATGGCGTTTTTCATTATCCTGGCCACATTCGCAATGGGAAGATAAATGTCTTGTTCTCTGAAGCTTTCTTTTGAACCATTTGTGTCTTCATGATCATTCATGCTGTCTTCCGTATCTACAAGGGACAAAAGCATGCCAGCTTTAAAGTTTCACATAATTTTTACTCTGATTAAAAAGTATCTACGGTACATGCCGTGGTGTGCAAACCTTGCAGCTCGCGCTTCCTGCTTTCTAGGAGCAGGACGGCAGTTCTTTCCGGAGATTTCTCAGGGCCAGAACTGATCCTGCTCATTAATTTCACACCTCCCTCCCTGGTCTTCAAAAAGCTCGGCCTCCCTCGCCCCCTCCGAAGGGCCTGTGGGTTCCTAAGCCCCGCACGTGCTTCTCGGAGCCTTCTCTCTGATTTGCCTGGCAGTTCGTTCCATTTCTCCTTTCCCTACGAAGACGCTGCTGCGCGACTCCCAGCGCCTGGACAGCCCCGCCAGGCTCCGCAGACCGTGCCGGACTCCAAGGCTGGTTGCCGGGCCCGGTTTCCCGAGCCTCTCTGCCAGCTTCGTAACTGTAACCCTCCCGAGGAGTTTACTTGACGTCACACACAGACTGCGAAAGCCAGACTCACGCATTACTGGCCCGGCTGGGTCACTCATGGAATTGCTTTTTAACGAAGCCACAGGAGGGAGTGACCCAATGTGTCTCATAAAACGTGAATGTTCAAGCTATCGAGACTTACACACGATGATGGCTCCCAGAGCCCACAACACCCTCTCGGCCATGCGTGGCCCAAACACAGGACCGCAGCTTCCGACAGGCAGAGCACTGAGGCTTGCTCGATTCGTATTTGTGTGTGTTTAAAATAATGTTACAACTGTTTTAGGATGAAACACGAATCCTTTTACCACAACTTCCAAAATATCTTTTCATTCTTAATTTCTCAAATCAAAATGCCACCAAAAAAAAAAAAACCAACAACAACAACAACACACAAAACAGGGGCCGGGGAGATGGCTGAGTGGAATAAGCGCTTCCCTGGCAAGCGCAAGGGTCTGAGTTCAATCCCTGGTTCTGCCAAAAAAAAAAAAAAAAAAAAGCCACCAAAGTTAATTATTTCTGATCAGCAGACATAAGACTGCAAATTAAGTTTGTACCTAAGTACTAGATGAACAGCAGTTTAATTCACCCTTCAAAGCAACATTTTATTCGCTGAGTCCACTGAGTAAGAATTTCTCCCATTTAATACTTAATAGTATATCAGTAATAAATTTTTAAAGAGACTACGCCAGCTTGCCAACAGGTGGGCTTGGGAGCCATCTTCCTCGCGGACTGAACTCTCCCAGGCCCAGCAGCAGTGGCCGGGCCAGGTGGCCGGCCGGGCCAGTGTCCGCGCTCCCCTGCTCTTACCGTCGTGGGGCTGGATCACGTAGTGACTCCCTCCGATGTAGTCTGCAGAAATCCCTAGCTGCGACGCGTCTGTGGTGGAACTGTCGCCGTCCATCTAGGGGGAAAGAGGCCTTTCAGTGCTCCTTGGGGAGCTGACACCCCAGGAAGGCTCACGCATGCGCGCAGCCTTCCGTCTACCGCGAAGGGCGCCGTGTATTTCTTGACCTGGGAACCCCTCTTTCATAGTGGCAAGGCGAACGCAATGCGAGCCAAGACTAGGCGATGCCTCCAGAGCACTGGGCGCTGTCCAGCCGCACAACCGGGAAGAGGGCACTGGCGCTGTGACTGCACCCCGCTCTCCAAGGCCGAGCAGAGCCACAGCTGCTGGGCAGTGCCACGCACGCCCAGCGGCTGCCTCCCTGCAGCTCCCAAAGAGCCCCGACTCAGGAGCACAACCACCTGGGCACCCAAGAGCCCCCGCTGAGTCGGAGCCGAACGCCTCTCCCTGGCCCTGGAGAGAAAAAAAGGTGGCAGCAGGGAGGTGACACCTGTATGACAGAACAGATCACCGACAAGGGACAGCTGAAGTGTCTACTTAAAGCAAAGTACATTTAATTTTGTGGAGAGCCAGGAGAATTCCAAAAAGGAAAATCTGCAAACAGTGAGTGTCAGTGCTCAGCTGCACACTGCGACAGCAGCTCCTGAGAGCTTTGGCTTTGCAAGCCCTACTGCTCGGAGCGGCAAGGGACCGGCGCTCGTGAGGGTGCCAGTGAACATCATGCCATGTGAACGCGAAGCACGGCAAAACCTCAGTGGGCTGCATAGTACACACGCTCGGGTCAGAGCCGGCAGAGACACTGCAGTGGGGCTGACATGGCGGCCTGGGCGCCGACACAAGCTCAACGGCGCTAACTGCACATTTAGTCCTTACGCAATACTCCATTATACAACACTACATAATTCTCCATTTCTGTTGGATTTCTACTGAAGTGCCGGGCTAGTTTCCAAGTCTCCAATAACACAGCTTTTCTTCTGCTGACTTTGATGTCTAATTTGCAGATATAGATTCATTTCCACAATTTATACAGTTGCTTTAATAGGGAAATAACACAGAATTCGTAGGTCTTTAATAGTCTATGGGAGGGCCCGGGGAGATGGCTCAGTAGAATAAGCACTTGCCTGGTCAGCGCAAGGGCCTGAGTTCCATCCCCGGTTCCACCAAAAAAATAAATAAATAAAAAAGAAATGAATAAATAAATAAACATTCTATGGGAGCACAGGTGACTTCTTGGTAATACATAAGAAGCACACACATTCAGGGAGCCTGCTCTGACTCTTCTCTTCTCACAGCCTGAGTCCAGACGTCCCCGCAAAGCCTCACAGGCTCATAGATGGGGCTTTCCAGAGGCGGTAGATGTAGGGATGTGAACACAGACAGACTATCAGCCCACTGACTGGCAGCATAGTTCGGCTATGAGCAATGGCAAGCTTTACCCTGAGTATGGATGGCACCAACCATCAGGCTTGTAGCCTAGAAGGAGTATACAGGAAAAGGACAAGAAAGGCTGCCGCTGCCTGCTGCTCCCTGCGGCCGCCTACCCTGCAAGGCGCAGTTTCTCCTCTGTGGTACCACCCTGCCCTGGAGCCAGCTGAGGATGGCCTAAAGCCTCTACAAACTGTGAGCCAAAGTAAACCCTTCTTCTTCTAACTTGTGAGGGTCATGCATTTTGTCCCAGCACTGAGAAAGTAACTAAGACACCTACTGACCCCCAACACAAGCCCTCTGCGCAGCTACATGTACTTCTGCTCAAAAGGCACACACAGCACTGCCATCCCACCTTACACTGACACAGATGGATATGAGGCATAACCCAAATACAAAGCACTCTTTTTAAGCCCCAAATAAAAGCAACACAGGGAGAGAAGCTTTCCAAGGATGTGACAGTGGATTTACGAAACCAGAAAGGATGGTGTGTCAGGGTACCTGGGAGGTGACTGGTTTCATAACGACCCAAGGAAGATAAGGTACAGGACACAGGACTGATGTGTTGTTTCAGAACCAGTACCCAGAAATGAATCTGTGTTTTTGCAAGTGGGGATCAGTAACAAATTCTTTATTAAATCAGTATCCAGAGCCAGCAGTCTCAAAGTTATGGACGGGTAAAGAAACTTCACATCTGGAAGATGAACAAATTTCAACATACTAAAGGCAAAAACATTTAGGTGTATCTAGAAAAGCAGTAAGATTGTAATCTCGATTAATAGTATTCACCTCTCTAACAAAAGCATTTCCTCACAGACAGGAAACTGCTCAGGATGGTGCAAGGTAGGCAACACGCTGTATACGCTGGCTCTCACTCTGCCATCTCTGAAGAAAAGCCACACATTTTCTGCTTGTTGCATGTTTTTGGTTCAGCAAGCTTTAGCTTTTCTGTCATTTCACAATCCATATTCTTTTCCTTTCTTTCTACCATTAAAATTCTGCCCCGTCCAGCTTGGTCTTGAAGGCCAGTGCTCCCTATCCTGCTGGAATCCTGGCAATGTAGCCCATTCTGCAACCTCACAACTAGTGTTCACTTTCTGAAGCCCTAGGGGCTGAGGAGACAGCTCAGTAGAATAAGCACTTGCCTGGCAAGCACAAGCTCCTGAGTTCAATCCCTGGTACCAAGAAAATAAAGAAGCCCTACAGCACATGTTCAACAAACCAACCCGACTTTAATTCTTAGGACTGTCAGCTGCTCTCCTCTCCTATGTGTAGGGAATAGTGGGGAAGCTTGTTAGGCACATTGCAAAGGTCCCCCCCCACAAGTCTTAAAGCCAGGAGTGGTGGTGCACACCTGTGACCTGGGATTTGGAGCCTGAGGCAGGAGGATCGTTGCGAGTTTGAGATCAGCCTGGGCTGCAAAGTGAGCTCAAGTTCAGCCTGAACTGCATAGCAAAACCCTGTCTCAAAAAGACCAAAGGGGGGAATACAACAACACAAAATCTCCCGACAAGTGTCATGGAGCCGAGTACAGGCCATGTTCAGTCTCGCTGAGTGACATACAACGTCAGCCTGGCGAAGAGCAGTCCTATACCAGGTGCAGTCAACACTGCAGATCAGGTCTCTGTCCCCATGCCATGGGGACAATAAAAGCTGTGTAGGGAGGCAATGCTGGGATGGAGCGCAGCCTAGAGCCTAGACAGGGTACTGGAACCCCATGGACAGCCAGAGGCCTGGCTGAGCCTAGAGCTACAGAAACACCGCAGGGCTGCCACCAAAGTCACACACCATCTACCAAACCACTGCAATCACATAACTGCCACTCTGGCCAAGTGCTAAGGAAAAGCACAGGTGCTCTGCTTTTGCTCGGAGGGCTTACACCCGCGGCCTCTCTCCAGTCTGAGGTGGTCAAGGAAGGCCAGGTCCGCAAGTGGCACTAAAGCTGAAGCCCGAGAGGAATGCAAACCAGTCAGGCAAAAGAAGTGGGAAACAAAGTTCCTTCCAGACAGAGAAGGAAGAAACAGGCTGAGCCTGGACTGCGACAGCACAGCTGCATGCGGACGGCAACACATCAGTGAGTTTCAAGCAGGAGTACAGATCGGATCTCTTCCGTTTAATTTTCTGAGACAGGGTCTCAGCTAGTTCAGGCTGGCTTCGAACTCGCTACGCACCCAGGCTCTCCTCAAACTCACTGAAACCCTCCTGCCTGAGCCTTCCAAGTGTTGGGATCATAGGCGTGCACCACCACACCTGGCTCTTTTTAACCAATTACCACTTCCATGTATTTAAATACAGGTTGACCACAAAAATTGCAATTTTTTTCATGAATTTTTATAATTGTACAACTGGAAATATTAACAAAAAACTATTTTACTCAATTTACTTAATAACTTTTCAGGGGCCAGGGAGATGGCTCAGTGGAATAAGCGCTTCCCTGGCAAGCACAAGGGCCTGAGTTCAATCCCTGGTTCCGCAAAATAAATAAATAAATAAATTAATTAATTAAAATAACTTTTCAGAAAAAAAAAATTTAAAAATTATTTTTCAGGGGCCACCTGCTCAAGTTCCCTTTTTGTCCCTCTTTGACAGCTTTCTTCCCCCCAATAAATATATTCTGCTCTTGAAAAAAATAGTAATAATAATAATAATTTTTCTGCATATGGTATATCTTAGATAAAATACACATTGTAACGTTACAATCTAGATAGTAGCATCCAGCCTCTGAGTTCTTTTCACACTATTAACTTTCTTCGCACAACACACTGTACAGACGTGCTGGCCCTTCCTATATTCTGTGGGTGATAACATTAAGGTGAAGCCAGCAATGGCACATTCTGGGCCGGTGTCCTGCTATTCTGTATTTTTCAAGTATTTGGTCTATTAGACAAATCTAAATTATGATTTTTTGAACCCTCCTGTTTTGAATAATAACAAGTGAGTTCCAAAGTGTTTGGCCCAGAAGGTACACAAGTATTTTATATTTCTTTTGTTGCTTTTTGATTACAGGATGGCTTGTTAGACACTGGTCAGCTCTGTGAACACTACCCACCGAGCTCTCGACCACTGACTGTTGTTGGAAGGCTGTTGGCTTCACTTCAATGTCTACCATTTCTGTTTCTGTCATAAATAGCTGTCAATAGGAATATGTCTTTTCTGTCCTTCCCCTCGGATACGCTAACATTTCTCCAGTTTTCTCTCCTGCAGACCTTTTTGTTCCTGCTCAGTCTCAGCGTCCCAAACATGTGTTTGATATTGTGAAAGAATATCTCTGAGTTTTGGAGAACTATAAACATTACAGCTAATGTACTTATGATAAGAGTTCTTATAGCTTATTGCACAAAATTGTAAGTTATTTTTCACAATATAAGCACAAACTAGTAAAGGAAAATAACCAGAACTTATTAGATTCACTAGAAACCAACTTCAAAGGCACATATAACATTCTAAATAAAAAAGCATGCAAAAATAGTCAATATAAAACAAGTGAACATAGGGCCGGGGAGATGGCTCAGTAGAATAAGCGCTTCCCTGGCAAGGGCAAGGGCCTGAGTTCAATCCCTGGTTCCGCAAAAAAAAAAAAAAAAAGAAAAAAAGAAAAAGAAAAAGAAAAAGAAAACAAGTGAACAGGTGGACAACGCAGCTGGCGCAGCGAGGCCCTCTGGTGGGGCCAAGGCCTACTCGCGCACCACCAAGTGTCAGGGCGCAAGTGCACGCACAACACCTGGGACAGCTGGAACCCAAGAAACACTCAGCGCCGCCAAGGCAGGAGCCAGGGGTGGGAAGGGACACACTGCAGCCAGCCAGCAAGGGCCTGAGTTCAGGGCAGCAAAGCGACTAGACAGTCTTGTGGCAGGCGACACCAACGGGACTTGGGGGTAGGCTGGGGAGAGCCAGAGAACACCTTCTCCTGCGCTGGGCTGCCTGGCCAGGCCCTGACCTGTCCCTTTCTAAGAAGAGAGAAGCTCCAGCACCAGGCGCTGTCCGGGCCACGCAGGAGAAGCACACAGGGTGAGGGTGAACACCCGTGTCCCAGGGAATGGTCACGGCCAGAGCAGGGTCCAATGTCATCAAGTAGCTAACTGTCATGACTACACTAATTAATGGAACTGACTGTTCTCCAAATATGTACCCAGCTAGCACACCGACTTCTGAGGCAGCGGCTTTTAAACTCCCTAACAACTCACCGCCAAATACAACACCGTCCAGCGGGCTCCCGCTCACTGAGCACTCACCGCAATGCTCACCCGCTGGCTGGCCGGGACACAGGCACGGTGGCTGAGGAGGCTTCAGGGCCTCGACACACGTGTCTCCCTGCAGCTCTAGGCCTAAGCCTCAGGCCCTCCACTGTGGAGCCTGCTGATCCACGAAGGCACCGGCCTGACGTGTGGGCCGCGTGCTGGGAAATCCCTGGAAGCGCCGCTCTCAGGAAGCTGCCTGGGCTGGGCGCTGGGGCTGGCACCGAGTTATCCTGAGGACTGCACACAGCGGCCTCTGCGTTCTTTCGGGGGAGCTGCTTTGAGAAGTCCCTGCATCCAAGGCACTGAGCAAGACACTTGGTACACAAAGGAGGCAAGAGACGCCACGTGGCGTCATTGTGGTCCCGTCTACACAGTCGCCACTCTGTCCAGGCACAGAGAACACCCCATGTAGCTCACCCTTTCGCCTGCTCCCCCTCCTAGCCTTCCACTCTGAGTAAGAACGCACAGACTCCTCATCGTGATCTGGGTGCCCTCAGTCTCCCACACAACACATAGGGAGATCCTAACTGTCCCACCTCACGCCCGCCTTGTAAAAACATCCTTACGCGCTTTTCCTTTTGAGACAGGGTTTCAACATGTAGCCCAGGCTGGCCTCAAACTCAAGAAAATCCTCCTGCCTCAATCTCCCAAGAGCTGGGTTACCGGCGAGCCCAGCCAGCCCTCACGTACCTCTTTATTCAGTTCAACCCTGACATGCGCTCTTTACTCTAACAATACCCCACATCACTCTTCAAACCCGTCCTGCCTTCTTCCTGACTGCCAGTGGTCAAGCTAGCCTCCAAGGAGCAGAGCTGATGCCGCAGGCAGTAATCCCGTTGGTTTGTCTTTTCCTCCATAGCCCTGCTAGTCTCACTCTGATGTTGCTGCTGTCTCTTCCCTCGCTTTCTTAATGAGCTCATTCAGCATCTCGGTGCCCAGAAATCCCAGACCCACAACTAATGCTCTCCCTTGCACACAAGACAGCGAGCTTCAGACGCTGGGAAATGGAACAACGCCCTCCGCAGCCCTGCAGGGACAAGGAACATCTTCTCAGCCCTTGCTGCCAAACAGCTCGTCCTCCACTCTTCCACTGAAACCTACGAGTCACCTCCGGCCATCTCATCCTCACCTCTCCAGAAACACCTCCAAACGTGCCCTTCCTTGCCTCCTTCCAGGGGATTATGAGCCCGCCTTACCACACTCTTCTGTTTGGGCAACAGGGTCTCACTCACTATATAGTTCAGGCTGGCCTTGAGCTCACTATGTATCCAGGCCGGCCCTGAACTCACCGCAATCCTCCTGCCTCATCCTCCTGAGTGTGAGGGCTGCGATTCCAGGCTCTTAGCGTACTGTTTTAGGCAAATACACTCATAACTAGACTGGCTCTACAGATCACGGGTCTGCTCCTGGGCAGGTGCAGGCACCATTGTCACAGCGGTTCTCCCACTTCACCCAACTAAACCTGTTTCCTACTCTATCTTTAGGGCTAATAAAAATTTTACCGCTAGGATGGGCCTCTTATTTCAGGCCTGACAAATGGAGTTCTTTTATTTCGGGAGTGAAGCGACTATGACTCAAGGAAACTGTGAGACGCCTGAGGTCACAGACCCAGCCCCAGAAGAAAGCCTGGACATTCCAAGAAGCCGCAGTGCTATCTACTGGGTCCCCATCCAGATAGCGACTCCCTCCAGCCTCAGGATCCGGCCTTTGATGCTGGCCCCACTCCACCTCCCTGGCAACAGAGCCATCCTCCCAGCTCCCAGGGGGCCCCAGGACATGTGCAAAGCCTGAGACCCAGCCGCTAGGCCTGGCCTGGGAAGGTGCTCACTCAACAGTGATCTCCAATTATTTGTAACTGTGCTCCCAGCCAACGGCTGTGCAGATCAAATTACGGCCAAAATGGGAAACTGACTCACGGTCATGAAACGCCGAAGAACTGTCCTGTTGGTGGTGCTCAAGAACAGCTGTCTAAAGGGGTGTCCAGGCTTGGCCCAACGTCAGCCTACAAGACAAACATCTGTTAGTGGTAAGGCACATAAGCTGTGGATCTGCTTTCTAGTAAAATTAAAAGAGGGCACATATAATTTTCTCTGCAAATCTTAGTGCACAGAGTGTAAAAATCAGGCACCCAATAAGTGTTTGCTGAATTCAAAGATTTTGGGGACCATACAAAACAGGTAACTCCATGGGGAAGGGGAAATTTCTTTCCCAACACAACCCTGAATTTTGTCATGCTCATAAATACCCACGATATACCACACGGGAACACAATTATAGGAAAGAGATGTACAATTACATATCTGATTGGAAATAACACCCAAGATACAAACACACTACTTAAATTTTTTTAGTGATGGGTTTCTTAATCTTTTAGACTGAAACTTAGACATGTGAACACTCAAAGAGGGGAAACTTTTCTTTTAAACTTAGACTATAATGCTTCTAAATTAAGTATACTAGATTATACTGGTAAGACAGGCTCTTCAAAACAAGTAACAAAAAGTCCAATCAAGAGTCTTATTTCTAATTTTGAAGCACCACCATTTTGAACTAAAATTACATCTGAACAGCACTTCAGTCTCTGTGAGGCGCCAACAGCTGAATAAATTAGTATCAATTACAGTGTTACAACTTTGATTTATTTGTTCCTCCCCTTTTCTGGAACTGAAAACAATTAAATGGTTTGTGGAAGGGTACCAAAACACAAATACATCTTTTTAGGAGTAATTCAAAGGGAGAGGAAACAGTGCTTTGCTTTGGAGCTCAAAATCCAGCAAGGAGCTGTGGCAGTGCACTCCTGTACCCCCAGCACTCAGGAGGCTGAGGCAGGAGGATCGCTGAGTTCCAGGCCAGCCTGGGTTACAAAGTGACTTTAAGACCAGCCTGAACGGCATAGACTCTGGTTCAAAAAAAGAAAAGAGAAACAGAGTAAGTAGCAAAAGAAATCGTGGCTGCTGAATTTTTAAAATTCTATCAGAGTCCCCACTGCAAAAATGACTGTCCAAAGATTATCAAAGATTATTATTTTGGGGTTATACTTTTAAGTATAACCCTAAAAGCAACGCCTAATGTCTTTTCATATAACATCCTCTTTTGGATCCAAAAAAAAAAAAAAAAAAAAAAAAATCATTCCTTCTAGCTACAAAAAGTGACAATAATTTTGGGTGAATTTGATGGGGGGAAAACCTTAGAAAACTTAAAAAATGGGGGGGGGGTGAACTGTACATCAATATTTGGCTTATAATGGGTAGGGAATGAGCCACACACCAGTCACCCCAATAGCTGCACACACTTAGTGGAGAAATACACCATCACCTCATATGGTATTTATTTTCCTACGGGCAGGTCATGATGTATGTAGGAGCGCCTGGGAATGCATACATCTGTTTAAGGTTTGAAGAAATGCAAGTCTGCATCCAAGAACAGCAGCAGACTCCCTTCCTCCAACCTCTGGCATCGGGAGCCAGAGTTTGCATCTGCACAGCCTTCACGTTATATGCGACCGGAGCCGTGCAGAAGGACAATTGCCTTTCGCGGGATTCTCGTTAAACTTCCAATACTTTTCCAATAAGACCCCTATTTACGAATGCCACTGCTTCTGCTATGCGTTCCCATCACTCGCGCCACCGCTTAGAGCCATCCCGAGGCGAGGCTACCCCGGTGATCCGTGGCACCCGGCTGCCCACGCGAGCTGGAGGGGAGTGGGTGCCACCTCTGGGGGTCGCCGCCCCCAGCCGCTCCGGCGGGCGCTCCCCAATTCTTTGTTCTCCGAGACGCTGTCCCCTGCCCCACGCGTCCCCCACCTCGCACCCGGGGTGAAGCTGCGGCCCGACCCGAAGGCCTGGTTCCCACCTGCGGCGGCGCGGGCCAGGCCGCGGACGCGCGTTCTCCGCGAGCGGCGGGCCGGGGACCCCGGGGACCCCG